AGGAAAAACATTACCCGTTGGTTGGAAACCATTGTTACCACCTACGAATGCTGTACGTCAGAAAATATTAGATCAAATTATGACACGACGTAAAGAAGAGGAAAGAGGTTTCGTTTTTTTGAATTGAAATTTTTAAAGATTCAGAAAAAGCTTAATTTGATCAGAGTAAAAATTACTATAGTTAGTTTATTCTGGATTTAATTGTTTTTGAATTAATTTTATTATCTATCTGATTGCTTCATTTATTTGCCTTACATCCTTACATCGACAATAAGTAATCAGAACTGATGTGACATGCTGATGAATGCTTTTTTAGTGATTTTTTGGATAAGTGATTATATTTAATGCTTCACTGATTGTCATGAATGTTTCTTTCAGTCATGAATTATAACCAAATAAAATATTGGCTAAAGCAAATTTATCGTTACAAATATACCAACTCAGCTTATTAATTCGTTGTTTTCCATATAAATATTGCAATATGGTTACTTATAATCTAAATCTGTAATTCATCTACTTATGATTTCGGTAAATATCTGATCATCAATTAATTTTTTTTTTGTTTGATTAACTCAAGTTGTTGCAGATCGTGCGGCTCGTGCAGCACGTGCTGAAGAGCGTAAGAATGAGGAAGAGAAACATGCTTGGTACAAAGAAGAGATAAGCGAATGTGAAAAAAAAGTAAACTAGTTACTTCGTACTTTTTATTTGTCAATTTAGTAAAATTAACTGCTATATTTTTCAGTTCTTTAGAGTTCTACATGTTTGTCATTTAGTGAAAAATGATGCGGATTGAACTGCTAAATTTTACTTAATATTTGAAATGTTCCTAAATCCATTATAAGATACCAAAAAATTTTTCATACATCTGTGAGCTTATTTACTAATATACGTGTATTATGATTAAACTTTTCGATTTTTATTATTAATTTTAGATTCAATGTCTAAATGCAAGGAAAATTGAATTAGATGAAGCAAAAAGTAAACTATTTGCGGAGCTCAAAGAAGTGGTTGCAAAATCGAAAGATCGGACTCAGAATCAAACTGCTTTTTATAGTCATTTAATTCAATCACAAACTCGGAATAAGGTTTGGATGAAGAAATAATTGGATTTTTTCGGCATTTTATTTTTGAGATAATAGAGCGATATAGAAATGTGAATTCATTTTTACTGCAAATATAAGTATCAGAAATGCTTATTATATTTTGACATTATCTATATTTAATACCATCAGCTTGTTTCAGGAGAGAGACGCGGATGTTGGATCAGTTTCAATACGACAGTTTCCTGTTGATGGTTTGCCGAATTCTGGTGCTGCGGTTACCAGTGGATATTCTGATTTGCAGGTGCGCATCTTAAAGTAGTAGGACTACCTTGCAGTGCAGTAATGGCTATTAAGATTTTTTTAAAGTTTTTTTTTTTTCTTCGATTTCAGATGAATCGGATACTTCAGTGATCTGGTAAATCTTGAAAAAACAAGTATATTCAGCAGATATCAGAAACATAAAGCGGCACCAATATTCATTTTATGAATCAGTATTCATTCTGCTTATAAAAAGTCATGCAAGTTTGTTTGTTTTGTTTTGAGAAATATTATACGAAAATTGTTGAAGCCTTTTTGCTTAATTTAATACTGAATAACTTTTGTTTGAGTTTCAGAAAAATTATAAGCAAGAAACCAAGAATTCTGGTAATGATTTGAACTGTGATAATTTCTATTTCATATTTTATCATTTGTTTTAAATTGCATTGTATTGTTTATATTTTCAAGTGGTCTGAATTTTTTTAATCATAAAAATCATTTACTTTGCTCGCACAACAATCAGAAATCAAATTATTTTCCTTTTAATACTACGTGAAATCTTAAAGTTAAGCATTTTTGCTAACAACAATTTACCATGGTATAGTTGATGAATACTTATATAATCGGATCATATAATTTTATAATAGATGACTTGATTAGCTAATATATAAATAGATGACAGACTTGTCATTAAAGGATATATTGATAGTGTCAACAGAGATTTAGTTCTTTTTTTTCTTTTTCTGAAAATACCGATTTAGTGGTCTCAAACATTTTTTTTTTTTTTTGCTACGTACTTGTTTAATGCCTGAATGTTATTAACATCCTGGAATGTATTTCTTGGGGAGCTGGTTTTTTAATTTATAGTTCAATCATTTTCTACGTAAATCAGAGTTTCACTTGATTAGTATTTATTGAAGTGAATTTTCTACGACTGTGAAGTTTGACTTATAACAACGCGCAACGAATAGATATAATTATAAAATATTAAACTATTATCAAAAACCCCCGAAAAACGTAGAATTGAGGAGATTTTGGATTCCCAAAAGCAGAACTGAAGTCAAACGAATAATAAACAGATGTCGAATCCGTAAATGTTGGAATTTCAGATCGTTCAAATTACCACCGAGGAAAGCTGCTCGAAGCTCATGTCAATTGATCTAGAATCTTCGCACGTATCGCGTGGATTGTTTTGACCCTCTTTCAATCAAAAATAATAGTATGTCAACAAAACGACGGGTAATATTATTCACATGCTTTACGACAAGAGTCATACATCTCAAACTGACAGAAGACCAATCCGCAGAAACTTTCTTGCATGCTATTCGGGGATTCATTGCAAGACGAGAGTATCCCGAACCAATTCTAAGCGACAACGCCACTCAATTCTAGGCATTCAAAACTCTTATGACACAAGTCACTGTCTCCAACTTCTTAGCAAAAGAAGGAATGAATCACTTGGAGAAATATTGTACCGAAGACTCCTTGGCAAGGAGGAATCTAAGAGAGATTAACTGATTTAGCGAAAAATGCATTAAAAAGGGCATTTAACAGGAAATTCCTAACGGAAAGGGAATTTGTAACACTAATTGCGGAAGTTGAGGGCAGACTTAATATCCGACCACTAACTTATGCCAACTTTGAAGACTGCGTCATTACACGTCCCACTGATCCATCTACCCATGATTAAGGATGATGATAAACAGGAAAAACTCATCCCTCACAGATTAGAGACCAGAAAAAGGCTCGTCAAATACTGGGAATGCATTCTTAAAACTCTCGAGAAAACTGGAGAGTCGAATATTTAACAAGCTATCGAGAACGACACGAAGGAAAATAATCTCATTCAAAAGAGCACAAAAAAGGACTCCAAGGAAAGGAGAGATTGTACTCCTAAATAAATCGCACATTCCAAGAGGAATGTGGAAATTATTAAGGATCAACGATATCAAAATTGATAAAGGTGTTGAAGTTAGAAACGTTCAAGTAGAAACTCCTACTGGAAAACTTCTCGATCGTCCAATAAATATCCTGTATCGAAGTTAATGACGAAGAAAATCTTCTTGAACTGAATAACAAGGAAAATATGAAATTCTAAAAACTGGACAGTACACAAGGAAACTCCAGGAACCCATTGCAATGCGAAATAGAAGCAATACAAAAGGACAAACTCAATCAATCAAAAGGAGAGTAACTTAATTTTCTCACTTTTATTGTGAGACAATTAAGTGTCTGTCATAAAAAAGGGTACAAATTATGTTTGATCAATCAATCATTATATTCATGTTTGATGTTTTTGTTTGTTTGTTTTTTTGTTTTTGTTTTTCATACTTGATGTTTTTGTTTGTTTGTTTTTGATCAAACATTTGACGAAGGATAACTTCGTCAAATGGTTGATCAATCAATCAGCAAACATTTTCGCATCTGCAATTTAATCTAATCAAGATCGTTAAGCCATTAAGTTTACTCTCTCAATTAATTTAAGCTTTAATTTCTACCGAAATAATGTTAAATATTTACTTAGTAAATTATTAGGAAGAAATGCTAAGGAAAAAGTTTACTAAAAGTTTGACGCATTATTTTCGAGAAACATTGCAGGAATAAGAGATTTTAAGTCGGTAAGATTTAAATTTTAAAATGAAAATGAAATTTTTGATCTACCCAATACATTGTTGTAGCACTTATTATAATGCATTTAAGGCGTCCGAATCATTTATATTTGTAATTGCTAGTTTAATAAGAATTAAGTATGCAAATTAACAGTATTATTGTTCAGTACACCTTTTCTCTAAGCTCATATTCATACATTTGAGCCAAGCATAGCTGTTAACATTAGACTGAAGAACTTGGCCAAAATTTGAAGTCATCCATCCGTTGGCTGTCAATGTGAATAAATATTAAATTAATTTTGCAGTCAAAAACAAATTTCTTCAAATATTTATCTTACAATTTGTATTTCTGTTTCTGCCACAAATAAGTCTGTATGTTAGACAAATAAGCAAAAACTTAAATGTTAGGTAAATAAGGCTGTAATTAAAACAAAAACACTTTGTTGTCTTTATTCAGAACTATTAATGCCACTGACATACAATGCAAATAGTAAAAGTATACCACAGAATATATCAAAATAAAACTTTGAAACAATCAAAGAAATTTTTAGAATTTAATTGAAGCAACAACAATATAAATCTTTTCAAAGGCATTTTTGTTGCTTTCGTTAAATTCTCTGAAATTCTGGCACTAAAGGTTAAAAGGTTAAATCCTAGAATGAATTCGCTTAAATATCCCAAATCAAATGACTTTTTTTTTGGAGTATTTGTTAAAAGCGATAGCATTTGCATAGTTCATTTTAGAATAATGCAGTAGAAAATGCTGGATTACAATTTCAAAGAAAACATTTTAAAATTACATTTGTATGAACTTTGAAATTTGCTAATTGAGATAATCTAATATTCACCGTTTCCACTACCTGTGTTTGTTTTTCACTTCAATTTTGTCCTCTATTTTAAAATATTTTGTCGCAAATCATTGAAGAATTTAACAAACATAGAGCCGAAATCAAATATAAAATGCAAAATTTCAAGCAAAAAATTGAAGATCAAAAATCACAGTAAGTCAATGTGATAATTCATTATTCAGAAGCGAATTTAAATATAATATTTGACTATAAATTAGAAAAAAAATTCTTATTCCTCTTCAATCAACAATCAATTCTGTAAGATCTCTGAATACTATTTGAAATGATTGAAGTATCCAATCTTCGATCAATTTGCGATATCGTTCTTCTGATAGATACAGCGGTACAGAACTTCTAAAAATGTTTACAAAAAAAAAATAAAGTAAAAAAAAAAAAACAAAGATAAAAGCAGAATATAATTTTTAACAGTCTAACATCATTCGAGAAGAAATTTATTGTATTTTAAACAAAAATAAATTTATAAGAAATGTCTTAGAGCTATTATAAACTAACATAATATTTTATTTTTTTTTTCGCTTTTTTATTTATAAAATTAATAATAGTAACAGCAGTAATAGCCAATTAATATTTCCAACGAAGATATTTTATATAGTTTTGAAAACTACCTGAAATGCAGTTATTTTTCCAAATGAATAATGATTAATAATTATACAGATTATTTCTGGTCATATTTAAGCATTTTTTTTTTGAAAATTTAAAATGTTTTAAAATACACAAAATGACTGTTTAAAAAAAAAAAAAAAAAGTTAATCACAATCAAAACTAACGTTAAATCATCAACTTCATGCCCGTTTGCATCTAAATATAAATGACCCCAAAATGCTCCTAATTGACCCAAAACGATTAGAATTAATCTATTTGAAACTGATAAAAAGCATGCCGCACTATTGCCACATTCATTTGCATGCTTAAATTTGATTAAATTAGCTTGTTTAATAAAAAATAGTTGATGAAAGGAAGAAAAATGTTAACAGTGATAAGTGATAAGTTTTTATTTCATTTTTTTCATTATTGAACAGTGTGATAAAATTATTATCATTAATTGAATAAAATTATTAATAATTTTAAAACTAAAAAAAATAAAAAAATAAACGAAAAAAAAAACTAACAAAAGATAAACATTTTGATATATCATAGCAGATTCGATCAAGATTTAACAATCGTCCACAAAGAAGACACAAATATTGATGTGTTGATTTTCTCGCGCATAGACGACATTGTTGAAAACAAGATAGTAAAAATATTTCACAGTAATTTTGTGATGGTTTTATAAGTGTAAATCGACGCCATATTAATGGTTCCATGCATAAACGCTTTAAAAATTTAAATTTGAAACAATCATTAACAAATGAAAATAGAGCAGTAATAATAATAATAATAATAATAATAATAATAATAATAATAATAATAATAATAATAATAATAATAATAATAATAATAATAATAATAATAATAATAATAATAATAATAATAATAATAATAATAATAATAATAATAATAATAATAACAATAATAATAATAATAATAATAATAATAATAATAATAACAATAATAATAATAATAATAATAATAATAATAATAATAATAATAATAACAATAATAATAATAATAATAATAATAATAATAATAACAATAATAATAATAATAATAATAATAATAATAATAATAATAATAATAATAATAACAATTCGGAAAAAGTTTTTTTTTTGTTTATTTGCTTTTTTTTTTTCAAATGTTAATTAGCAACGTTATTTATAATTACATATTACAAAGATTAATTAAATAATTAATTAATTATAAATGATTTGCATCCAAATGCAACAAATTTGAATAACGTAAATGATGAAATTTTAATGAACCGTTTTAAGCTAAAAGTTATTTTGCTAAAAAAAAAAAAAAAAATGCAATGATTAAAAAAATATTTTTTATTTCTTTCATTATATAATTAGAAGTTATTCAAAAAATTAAAAAAAATGAAATTTTAATGATATTTGTAACTTTTAATCAAAATTTAAATAATTGTATCAGAATTGAGATAATTTTGAATAACAAAACACATATGTACAATAATAATATACCATATGAAAATATTCGTCATTAATCCATTGCATTACTTCTTTGGTCCATTTATCAATGCGAACTTCTGGTATTAATTGAGGTGAAAAATGAAAATCATTTTGACCTGTAAATTTTATTTAAATATTTTGATAGATTTAAAAAGTCATCAAAAATAGCAGAATAGTACAATTATTATTAATCATACTACATTCAATCTAACCAATTTTACAAATAAATATAAAATTTTCTGTTTATTTTCGCTCCTTTTTTATCTTTTTTCATTATATATATATATTTTTTTTTTGATTTTTGATTATTTCAAATTATTGCTACTAAAATATAGTACAAAAAATTTACAACAAAATTTTGTCAACTTATTAAAATTTAAAAAAAAAAACCTTTTTTAGTTAAAATTGGTTAAAATATTTATTGTTAGCAATAATTAATATAATTATAAGTAAACTCAGGTAATTAATAAAGGTATACCTATTAGCTGCTTGTAAATATTCATAAATGTTTCGTGGCCAATAAGATAATCATCATTATAAACTAATATATCACATTCATGCCATAATTGTGCCGTAAGACGTGATAAATCTGTACAAGCATATCTCATTGCTTCTTCATAATCAAATTCAACCTTCAAAAGAAAATTAATTTTCAAATTTTGAATTTTATTAAGTTTAAAACTCATATGAAACTACACAAAACTATGTAAAAGCTATCATTTTTTTAAAGTTATCTTTTTTTTTAAAAAAAATTGTTTTTTAACCCTTTTTAAGCTAAAAGTTATTTTGCAAAAAAAAAAAAAAATGCAATGATTACAAAAAAATATTTTTTATTTTTAGTCAAAAAAATAAAAATAAAATAAAATAAATAAAAGAAGAAAAAACAAATAAATTCTTAAATTTATTCCTAAATTCTTTCCTTTTTTTTGTAATTAATTAATAATTAAAAAATTCAAAAAAAAGAAAACACACCAAATTACGTGAAAAAATCCTGATAACATCTACAGGTGGTATCCAATTTCTTGAAATGATTCTTTTAGCAACATTTTTCATCACATAAATAAATATCTACATAAATAATAAACGATTGATAAATAATTGAAGAAAAAAAAAAAGATTAAAACAGTAAAATTTTCGTTTAGTTGTTACTATTTTTTAAAATATGCATGGGATAATTAAAATATTAAAATTGTTATTCAGTACATATGTAAGAAATAAATATTTAAATTGATTAAATTGATATTCGTTAATAAATTCATATTTTCTGTGCTTTTCAAAAAAAATCATTTAAATATTAAGCAAAACTTTTAATAATAAGTTCTTATAACAAAATTTGATTATTAAAATAATCAATATGTTATCAATTATTGTTTTAAAAAGTTTCCTCCTATTTTTACAATATGAAAGATAATTGTTTGCATTTGAATAAATAATAAAATTTTACTACATATGTATTAATTATAAATAAACAATCAAAATCACAAAACTGTAAATAATTAACAATTTCAGATGACAATGCTATTTGCAAAAGTTTTGAAAAAATTAAAAATTAAATTTTATGAAATTTACAATTATTATTACATTATCGCTAGATGGTAAATTTAATACTGATAATGCTTGTGGTAATGGCATACGTATCACTGATAAAATTGCTGTACGAATCATTACTGCAGCTAAGACCATCTGATAGATGAAACGAAGCATAACTAAAATTTTTTAAAAATGAAAATTATTTTTATGAATAAAAATTTATTTACAAATTTTTAAATAATTAAAATAAAACCTCTCTTTTCATTAATCACTGAACAATCACTTGTGATAATATAAATGCTAAGACGAATTAAGGTTGTTTTCAAATCGAATAATACCATTGGCATATTCATGTTTTCTTGTTCCGTTCTGCTTGCTTCAGTAATTAGCTAAAATTAATAAATGACATCAATAATTTAAAAAAAGAAAAATTTCAAGTTCAAATGAGAATAATAATAGTATCAGTAATAATAATAATAATAATAATAATAATAATAATAATAAATCATTTAACGTTTAGATAATTTTTTTTTTAATTTCTATCCTATTTATTTTTCAATATTTTTAACATATTCAAAAAAAATGGAAGAAAAAGAAATTTCAAGAATAAAAATAAAATATTTTTGCAAGAAGATAAATAAATAAATTGAAATTTATAAGAGTTTACTTTTTCTATTAAAGTAATTTTCAAGAACAATTAATAAAATTTGAGCTAATTGAAGTCTAAATGCAACTAAGTGTAGCAAATTTTATCTTAATTACAATAAAATTTATGCTAATTGCAACTGTTTAAACTAATTGCATTTATTTTTTAATTCCACTAATATAAATGAAATTGAATTTAAGTAGAGATTAATACTTTAATTAAAATAATTAATAATTATTCGATGATGTTTATAATTATTACAAAAAATATCAGTAACTTGATGCCATTATTAATATTTTAGTATAATTTTGAGATATATTTGAAACTATTAATATGTTCTTTTAATAGTTAATCAATCAATAAAAAAAAATCGAAATTTTTGTCATTCATACAAATAAATCAGTAAATGACTATTTTGTGAACAAATTTTGAAGAAAACAAAAACAAATAAACAAAATAATTTTAGGAGAAAAATAAAATTATATACATTTGATCCAAGAGATTCCATAAAGTTAGAATCAGATTGAATGGATTCATCCGATGTTGTAGGATCAAAACCAAATGTTAGCTCTTTCCATTCATATTTTGCAAATTCAAGATCAATCGCATCACTATAATATCGTCCGCCATAAATTACGAATTCTAGAAATAAGCAATCTTTTTTTAAACTTTTTAATTCGAACATAAAGATGATATAATAGATGTACAAATAATTTGTTGCATCAAATACTAATTTTAATAGTATGATAATAATAATAATAATAATAATAATGATAATAATAATAATAATAGTGATAATAATCATAATAATAATAATAATAATAATAATGATGATAATAATAATAATAATAATAATGATAATAATAATAATAATAAAAATAATGATAATAATAATAATAATAATAAAAATAATGATAATAATAATAATAAAAATAATGATAATAATAATAATAATAATAATAATAATAAAAATAATGATAATAATAATAATACGATAATGGTTAATAATTTTTTGATAATTATTTACTAATTTATGATGACAATAAGTTAACAATTAAAGATACGATAATAATTACTAATTTATGATAATAAACGATAATAATTGGAGACATTACAATAATTGATAGTTTTCGATAATTGTTACGATTCGATAATTAGTAATTGCTCGTAATAAGTGATAATAGTTAGAGACATGATAATAATAATTTATAACAATAATGATAATAATTAAAGATATTACAATAGTAACATTTGATAACATTTAGTAATTTATGATAATAATAAGTGACAACAATTATAGATATGATAACAATTAGTATTGTAGATATGATAACAATGGCTATAACAAATGATAATAATTAGAAATATTATATGATTAGTAATTTTTCAATTTTTCAAACTTTTCAATTCAATAACAATTAGTAATTTATGACAATAATAAGTGATAATTTGTGATAATAATAATTAGTAACTTAAAGTGCAAATGTTATCATTTCTATTACTTATCTATGCATTAACGATAGTTTAATTTCAACCAATAAATATTGTACGCTGATTTAATAATGTGATAATAATATTTTTAATGAAAATTTCATTAAAAATTAAATTGTTTTTATGAATAGGAGAAAAAAAAATGCATACTTGTAGGTAATTCAGCATTAGGTAATTGTGAAAAATTTAATTCTGACGATAAAATATTCCTCTCACATTTACCTCTGCAAAATAACAATTAATTAATACTAACAAGAGTTTGAGAATTCTAAAAATAATTTTAATAATCAAAAATAGAATCACAAATGATAATTATTCATACATATGTCATTTTGTTTAATTGTTTTGAAGTATTCAAAAATAATAATTGTTTAATTTAGTTTAATTGTTTTCTTATTTTGGTATAGAATTTCCGTTTATTGATTACATTTCAGATCATTACTTATTGTATAAAAATAATAAAGAATACAACCTTAATATTACAATTTTAAAGTTTTATTATTACAAATGAACAATATTTAGAATTATATGATAATACTTTATTATTATGATTTTTAAATCTTAATTTTAAAAGTTAACATTACATAAACTTGTATAGTAATTATAATTTTTAAATTTTACATTTAAAAATAAACTCCATAAAACTACATGATAATACTTTAATATTTTAAATTTTACATTCAAAAAGAACAGTACATCAACCTATACGACAACCTGTACAATTTTCAAATTTCACTTTTAGAAATAGACAATATATAAACCACCTTTCTCAAAATTTTTAAAAATTTATATTTTTTTAAAAAAAAAAATGAAGAAATACATGAACAAATAAACAATGATAATACTTCAATTTTTAATTTTATGATTACAAATAAAAAAAAAAATTTTTACTTTACAATACCAATTACAGAAGGTTGAATTCTCATACCATCGTCGTAATGTCTGTCACGCCAATTATATGTCCATTTATGACATACAGCAATAAAATTTGAAAATAATTCACCATATATCGTACTTCCACACTCTTCATCAGTCCAAAAAGAACAAAAAAAAAAAAAACGAAAGTTTAATTTTGTTAAGCATTAAATGGTCAATCAATCAATCAATCAGCTAATCAATCAATCAGCTAATCAATCAATCAGTCAGTCGATCAACCAATCAGCATTATATGTAATTGTAATCTAATTTGTTTTAAAATAAATGATATACCTAATTTGCATACCTCTTCACTTATTTGATCAGCACCAGAGCATATTAGATTACCGATTGTTGTAGTAAGTAATACTTTACTTGTATCATCATTAAGCATGTGCAATCTGTGTAAATATTTTTACTATTATTAAAAAATTAAACAATTGTGATAAATTAAATTAAAAAAAAAAAAAAAAAGGCAAAATCAAATTAAATTAAATTTTTTTATCAGAAGAAAAAAAGTGAAGGAAAAAAGAGCAGAAATCAACCATCTTTTGTTGAAAATTAATTTTCTGCATTAGTAGGGCGATAAAATAATAATGAACGATAACTTCACAAATTATAAGAAGCTAAAATAATGAAAAAAAAAAGCGATTAAATTAAATTAAAATATTTTTTCTTTTAAAATAAATAAATAAAAAATAAAAAAAAAATAACCGTTTTCGTTGAAATCTACGTTTAGGAATAATAGGTAAAAGGCAATGAGCAATTTCATAACATGCTGGACATGGAAGTTTCACTGACCATAACAATGGAATGGTCAGTGAATAGGGATCACGCTAAAAAAAGAAAAAAAAAGAGTTTTTTTTCAAAACGTAAATTTTGCTAATCAGTAATAAAATTTAAATAGCTAAGAGTAAAAGTAAAAGTAATTAATGTTTTCATTTGAGAAAATAAAATAAAAGAAAGAAAGGTATTTCAAATAATGCAATAACAATAATTTCATTTCATTTAAATAATTTAAATAAAGTTTCTTTTTTTCCTTTTGAAATACACCTGTGTAATATTTGTAGGTATTAGGCATTCTATCTCAAAATATTAACATTAAATTACTTTTGATTTCAATTGTTTTTTTATAATTTTAAAATTTAGTTATTGTACTAAAAATAATAAATTTTGACATATATAAAAAGTATATAATTTTAAAAAGGCATAAATCTTTTTTATTCATAAAGATACTATCTAATTTATATATGTCTATTTTAGTCCAATAATTAAAATAATATTAGGAAATTAAAAAAAAAATGACTCAAATATTATTCAACAGATTAATTAATACTAAGTTAAAATTAGAATTAACAAATTTCTTATATATCAATTGCAGGTCAGGTCATATTTTAAGAATAAAAAGCGATAGAAATGATAAATATAATTTATTTTCTTTTACCTTTTAAGTAATTATTTTTGATCATTTTTTTTTTGTCAGATAATAGTACGTTAATAATTTCTAAAAATTTAAAAATTTTCAATCAAATTACAAACATATAATGGTCCAATATAATTTCGAAAACATTTAAAGTGTGCATAATGTCCACATGTTTTGACATCAATACCATTAGGAACATAAATTAAATTTGCATATTTTGGTGAAACCTGTAAAATGAAAAGAAAATGAACGAATGAAATAATATTGGAATTAAAATTTTATGCCAATCAGTTAAACAAATGAGTTGATTAATTTTTTCATTTTTTTAATTTATTCATTTTAATAAAGTATTGGATTTAATGAAGTTAAAATTATTCATTATTAATTTTCTATTATTAAGATTCTTTGTAATTAATACAGTTTTAGTTCAATTCTTCGCACTTTTTTTTTTTAAAAAAAAACTCTTTTTTGCATCAAAATTTAGCAAAAAAAAAAAAAAAAATAAATTAATAAATAAAAATAAAAAAAAAAGCTAACAACAGTTAGGTATCTCCATAGGGCAAATTCAAATTTTTGCTTCATCATCTCAGTTACACAAATGCCTCCTTTACCATTCATATCCATTAATGATGAGTAATCATTAGGTGATAATGAGTAATCAGCTGATAAACTACGTTCAATAGCTAAAATAAGTTAATCTAATTTATTTAACACATATTGTAACATTTTTTAAACTTTTTTAGTTTGTTTGATATTAAAAATAAATAAATAGATAAATATTATTATGAATAATTTGATAGAGCAAAGTGAAGTAAAACATGAATATGAAATGTGATTCATGAATTAATTAGTTAATTAATTAATAATAGAGCAAAGTGAAGTAAAACATGAATATGAAATGTGATTCATGAATTAATTAGTTAATTAATTAATAATAGAGCAAAGTGAAGTAAAACATGAATATGAAATGTGATTCATGAATTAATTATTTAATTAATTAATTAATTTATTTGATCAGTTAAGATTATCATGAGTTTTATGAGTAGAATGAAGCAAACATATAAAGCATTCATTTGTTTAGATAAATTTGACAAAAAGTGTAAAGTAAATTGTATGTTAATGACTTTTCAATATGATAAAATAGCCAATGATAAAAGATAATAGAAGGAAGAGAAAGAAAAATTCATCATTAATTACTATTTATTAAATAAAACAAACAGAACAGACCATAATTAACAGTTACGCGACACAAAAGTCCAATAGGACACATCGATGAGTTCAATGTTACATTATTGCAAATTGAACAGAGATATTCTGATGGTATCGATGGCAGCTGAAAAAGAAAACAAAAAAATATTTTTATAAAACATTTACAATTATAAATTCTAATTTCTTAAAATTATTTTTAATTATAAACCAAAATTTTCGTTAAATTTTGATAATAAATGAGTTAATAATTCTAATGCATATTGGTGAAATTAAAAAAATGAAATGATATTTCAAAATAAGTTTAAAGTAATAACAATTTGAATGCGAATAAGTACACATTTTAATGAACAAGCAGCAAACAGATCAATTTGCCTAATTAAAAATTTTCAAAAACTATTGTCTTAATTAATTTGACTATTGTCATAACAATGATAATTAATCTAATTAATTTAAGTCTTATCGTAATAGAAGATAAGTCTAATTATACTTACTACTCTTGCAGATATCGATACACTTCGTGTAGATCTCGACCTTCTTCCCGCAGATCCTGGCATTCTTACCTCAGATCTCGATGCTCTTCTCGCAGATCCTCCAATTCTTGCCTCAGACCTTGATTCTATTTCAGCAGGTCCCGGCAACGATGCTTCCACAGATCCTCCTTCTTCTTCCGCTGATCCTGATATTTCCATAGATCCTCCTGCACCTTCTACAGATCTAGATTCTTCGTCCGCAGATTCCATTGCTTCTTCCGTGGATTCTGTCATTTCTCCCGCAGATTCCATTGCTTCTTCCGTAGATTCTATCATTTCCTCCGCAGATTCCATTACTAATCAATTTTCTTCTGAACTGCTTGCAAAACCTGAAAGTACTCAACATGAAAAGAACGATATTTCCATCTAAGACATTGTCGTAGTATTTGTTACAATGCATTTAAGACATTTGTATCATCTATATTTGCAACATTTTTCGTACATTTCATTTTCCGCCATATTCTTTGATCTCTAAAAAAAAAGTATTTTTGGATATGCTCGACGCTACTGTATGCTTGATCGAATCGTTATTGATTACTGATAAGATGGACAATGAATGAATTTTTGTAATATAAACTCAAAATTGCTAGTTTAATAAGAATTAGATATGCAAATTAATAGAAGCATTATTGTTCAGCACATATTTTGTGTACTGAACAATAGCTAGGCTCGTATTTCAGGCTCATATTCATTTGAGCCAAGCATAGTTGTTAACATCGAACTAAAGAACTTAACCAAAATTTGAAGGCATCCATCCGTTAGCTGTCAATGTGAATAAATATTAAATTAATTTTGCAGTCAAAAACAAATTTCTTCAAATATTTATCTTACAATTTGTATTTCTGTTTCTGCCACAAATAAGTCTGTTTGCTAGACAAATAAGCAAACACTTAAATGTTAGGTAAATAAGGCTGTAATTAAAACAAAAATACTTTGTTGTCTTTTATTCAGAACTATTAATGCCACTGACATACAATGCAAATAGTAAAAGTATACCACAGAATATATCAAAATAAAACTTTGAAACAATCAAAGAAATTTTTAGAATTTAATTGAAGCAATAACAATATAAATCTTTTCAAAGGCATTTTTGTTGCTTTCGTTAAATTCTCTGAAATTCTGGTACTAAAGGTTAAAAGGTTAAATCCTAGAATGAATTCGCTTAAATATCCCAAATCAAATGATTATTTTTTGGAGTATTTGAGAAAAGCGATAGCATTTGCATAGTTCATTTTAGAATAATGCAGTAGAAAATGCTGGATTACAATTTCAAGGAAAACATTTTAAAATTACATTTGTATGAACTTTGAAATTTGCTAATTGAGATAATCTAATATTTTCCGTTTCCATTACCTGTATTTGCTTTTCTCCTAATTCTGTATTTTAAAAAAGTACGTGATGGAATTTACGATAATTTATTTGAATATTTTCTTCAAGTACGAAACAAGTTTGCAGTTAAATTAGAAATTTAAGCTGAAATCTCAGTCATCAAATAAAATGCTGTCTAAATTTTTCATTTAATCACTTTCGAAAACACTTAAATTTTTAACTCTCGTTACATTACAGGTACTCACGTTAAAATTACCTTTTATTTTATGCTCCGCAAGAAGGAGAAGAGTTAAACAAGTCTAATTCCATGCAATATTTTAATTAGCTGATGAATTGATCAGTTAATTGATTATAATTTATAGCTAATTAATAGCAGTAAAAAAGAAAAACAATTTAAAATGTCTCTTTAGATACTAACTCAAAATAGGTTTAAATACTAATTATTTAAAAAAAAATGTTAAAATAATCAATTATCTAATTAATTAGTGCATCATAAACAGTTTAAATAATAGCATTAAACCTAAACCTAAAAGATATTTATGTTATGATCAAATAATTGTGCAAAAAAAATCACTGATGAAACATTTTTTAGATAATTTTAAGCATAATAATTTACAAAGAAAATATAAAATATTTCTGTATTAGGCATGTAGATTACTACTACATTAATCAAATTTTCATAGCAAAATAAAAATTTCAGTAAAAATTCTTCCACCAATTTACATTATAATCTAATAAGATCTACAGGTAAACATTGGTCCTTCTAAAAACGAATTTTTGTAGTATAAATTAGGAATTTTTTTTTTGCGTACAGGTAAGAAATATGGAAATTTATCACTAACAAATATAATATATATAAATTATAGATTGTTTTATGTAATATACAGCTCAACAATGACATTATTGTTTTTCCTTATTTGCCTGAGATTTATTTACTGCATAACTCCATGCAAATCAAATGTTTATCAATTAAGCAAACTTCTTAAAACATTTAGCAAATTTATCCATTCCTTAAAATATTGCGACAGAGCGACATATTTAGATTATAAGAACATTTATCTTTTTCTACACAAAGATTAAAAAATATTCAATGAATAAATGGTCATATTGAAGAAATAAAATTCACTTATGTATAATTAAATAAATAAAAAATGGCTAACCTTCAGAGAAAGTTCACTTCCATATGCAAGCAGATGATGCAGCAATTGTGGATGTGTAAGATTAGAGACAGGTTGAGAATGACAGGTTGAAAAATATTGAAGAAATAAAATTCAAAGGATTATCTCAAAGACTATCTAAAATTCTCATGATAAATCATCATTAACTCAAACATAAATGATGCAGTGCTAATCACTTTCTATTGAAGCATGTAATGAGCATCACGAAGATAAGATATTAGATCATCAAAATTGAAAAAATTCACTATTAAATATTCAAATGATTGCATCATCCAATCTGCAATTAACTTTTCAATACGACGTTTCGATAAAAATAACGGTTTACCTCGTCTAAAAAAAAAAAGAGAAAATAAGAATTTCTGTATTTTTTAAAAAGAATGAAAAAAAATATTAAAGTTTCATAACAGAAAAGAACCTTAAATTACGGTCTTCCTCTCCATGAGCATCCAAATAAACCGAACCCCAAAGTGCTACCTTTCGATTACAAACTATCACAATCAGTGAGGTATTCAATGATAGAAAACATCCCACACCGCTACTACAAATTAAAATTGAGTAAATTTATTGTTGAACAAAAAATCTGCCACAAATATTTTATATTATTATACAGATATTATTCTAATTTCCAACAGAAAAATTGATTTTCTCTTGGAAGTTTCTAACAGTATATAAATGACATAAAATATTATCTTATTCATAGTATTTATATACTTTTGATAAAAAAAGAAAATAATAAAATATATAATGATTAGTGCTTCTTTTTTTCCTTATAACAACGGATAAAGTATTTCTTTGCAAAACAACATTCTTTTTTCTCAAAGAAAACTCTCGTTATATAATTAAAATTTGCTTATAAATCAATCTATAGATTACAATTTTAAAATTATTCATTTAAAAATGTAAAATGATTACTCGTTCCACTTCATTTGCAGAAATAGTTTCAGTGGCAGATGTTGTGCAACAACTATCCAAGCATGAGAGTTGACCACAAAGAAGACAAATAAATGGCATTCGAGGGACTAATCCACATACTATGCAAGGAACTCCGAAAAATCAAGCAAATAAGTCATCGTAACTTTTTGGCAATGTAAGAAACGTGAACCTACGCCATCCTAGTGGTTCCTTATTTCTTATGTAACTTCGTTGTTGCAATTATGGAATTATGAACAGGAAGTAAACAAGCAGTATTTGATAATTTGAATGAAATAAAAAGTTTTGAACATAAGCTTTGTAGCATCCAACATGCGCATAATGAAAAATAGCAAAATTTTGAACATAATTGATTATGTTATATGCATTGCACTAGAGCTGGTCATATATGGTGTGGTCATTTTATAGTTTAAATGTTAAAATACGCTTTTGTATTTATGTTTTGCGCTAAAATTCGTCTGCAAAATTAATAAAACTTTCAATTAATCATGGTTTTAATTCAATTTAAAAATTAAAATTAAATTTTATTTCAAATTTAAATTTTGAATTTTTTTAAAATCTTGAAATTTGTAATAGTTTTTGTACATTAAACGAGAAAATTGGTTCTAGATTATCAATTTTGATTTCAATTTACGATTTATATTTAGTTTATTCAAAAATTTAGAAATTCAAGGCCAATTCAATGTAAGCATATTACTTGCTTGAATGAAGTAATTATCATATTTCTTTTAATTAAATCCGTCTGCTGTGTAGCGCTGATAGATAGCATTACGGTTTATTGGAATGTCATATATTAAGTAAGAAACATTCTTCTAATTTATTATAAAAATACAATTCGGCATATAGCACAAAAGCATGTTAAAAAGACAAATCACTTACGCCACTTTGATGCCATCACGCTACGGCTACCATTTAAAAAAATCGTAGAGTAGAAAACAACTTTAAGAGAAAAAAAAACTTAAGTTTTTAATAAACACCTAACGACAAATTAGTTCAAAAATAAAATTAAAGAACAAAAATAACAAAATAAAGAAAATTTACTAAAATAAATAATTTAATTAAAAAATTAAACAAAAAAAAAGTTTTAACAAAAGTAGTAAAATCTAAATAAAATTTATATTAAAACAATAAAAATACATATCATTTAAACAAAAAAAAAAAAAACAAAAAAATAAAAAAAAAACAAAAAAAAATTAAAGAAACAAAATGCAGAAATGAAAGTGCGTCATATCAGTACAAAGTTATAACTGTAACTAACTTTGTAAAAATAAAAAATAACAAACTTTGACACTTTATTTGCTTAACTATTATTCATTAACCATGATAGAAATCTTTACTGATATGCAGTAACAAAAAAATTAAAATCAAAAAATAGTTAAAATTTATAAATATCCTAAAGTCTAAATCTTTCAACACTCTAAAGAGGTCAACTCTAAAGTAATAGGTATAAAATTATAATTAGCACCGCAAATTTCAGACTGCAAACTATAAAATAACCCTCTACAACAAGAAAAATTAAAATTAATTTTAGTGAGTAAGCCATTTAGAGCATCTATTTTAACAAAACATTTTTGGCACAGCAAAAGAATGAAAATAACACTACTAGAAGTACAGTAAAGATCAACACTCATGTTAATAGGTAAATATCAAATAATCGAAAGTCAGTAATGTTTAAGTCACCTATAAACTTTATAAATGAATCAAAACTCAATCTACTATTATTTCCATATTCATAACTTTAATATCATTAACAACCAATAACCTTTAAAGTTAACTCAGATTGTCGAAATATAAGCCCTTGATGGTGAATTAATCAAAACTCTGAACTTCGTCACATCTTCTAATTTTATTGTTTCG